TGAGAGGAGGCAGAGAGAGAGAGAGAGAGAGAGAGAGAGAGAGAGAGAGAGAGAGAGAGAGAGAGAGTTCACAATTTCTACCTTGAAAGAGCATCTAGAGTGATTCTGATGCGGGGGGTGGGGTGGGTTACAGATCCCTAATATCAGAGACTTTTTTTTTGATGTGCCATGCTGCATCGGAGCTATTCTGAACTGATTGGAAAACCATTTAGCCTGCCTTCTTTTCAGCTGTGGTGGCAGGCATTTTATTCTAGCCGAGGACATGGAATACAAGGCTTATTTTGCAGCAATAGCAGGTTTCAGTTATGAATGTAAAGGGGGTGGAGATTGCGTGCTTTGGCAGTCATTCCCTTGTTGACAGGACTTATCCTTATTTTGAAAGAGCAGATGAGGGGCAGTTTTGAACTAGCAGATAGTGTGTGGAAAATTCCCTATGAAACCAATTGATCAATGAAGTTGGGGTCAGTACCCCGTCTGTCCAGTTAGATTCCTTGCTGGTTCATAAAGCATTAGACAGATGGGTGTTCAGGAAGTAGCATTTCAGGGTCAGGAGAAGCTCATATGAAATTTAGGAAAATCGTCCTAGTACCCACATTTCCAACCTCAAATTCTTTTTTTTTGATTTTATGGATTTTTATTTAAATTAGAAACAATCTCATTTTACACATCAATCCCAGTTCCCTCTCCTTCCCATTCTCCCATACCCCCTACAACCCCCCTATTCCATCCCCCATCCACTCCCTAGAAAGGGCAAGGCTTTCCATGAGGGATCATCAAAGTCTGTCACATCATTTGAGGCAGGGCCTAGGCCCTCCTGGTGTCTCTAGGCTAAGAGAGTATCCCTCCATGGGGAATGTGCTCTCCAAGTCAGTTCTTTCACTAGAGATAAATACTGGTTCCACTACCAGAGGCCCCATAGACTGCCCAGGACTCCTAGCTGATACCCACATTCAGGGAGCCTGGTTCAGTCCTATGTTGTTTTCCCAGCTGTCAGTATGGGGTCCATGAACTTCTACTTGCTGTTTCTGTGGCTTTCCCCAGCATGGTCCTGAACCCTTTTCAACCTCAAACTCTTGAGGAGAATGGTTTAGTATTTAATGTGGGGGTTTTCTGTGGGGTGTGTGTGTGTGTGTGTGTGTGTGTGTGTGTGTGTGTGTGCGCGCGCGCGCGCGCGTGCGCGCGCGCGCATGCACACGTGCGTGAACTCTCCCCACTTCCACATGGCTAACTCTATTATTTAGAGGTGACCTTCTAGGTTTTTTATTAAGTTGGTTGAGTGCACTGCAAAAGTTCAGAGGGCATTACTGTATCAGAACCACCACCCCCAATAGGTGGTTCACTGTATCCACTTACTTTGTTGCTTCCTGGATTTAGTCTCAAATTTTCTCAGAACGATCTGTACCTAAAGATGAGGATATGCAAGCAAATAAACAAACTTACCCAACACAACCGGTTTAGCAACTCTTTCTACACCAGACAAAAAAGAGAGGGGATGGGTGGGTTGGGAGGCCTGGCAAAAGTTTCAGCAATCTTGAAAACTGAGGCCAAAAATAGTGAGGTGTTCTTAGAGTCACAGAGCTACAGGTAGAAAATGAATCCCATTGAATGATATCATCTTGAGTGGGAGTCAGGCACAGAAGCTCTTGGAGCATTTGTTACTGTGAAGAAGTATCTTCTAAGAATGTAGGTGGCAGAAAAGGAAGTTGGGAAAAGATTGAGAAATGGTAGATGTTTTGAGCTTATGTTTAAATGGGAAAGGTCTGGAGTGGGTAGACTGACTAAGTACTCAGCCCGACACAAGAGAACTTTACTTATTGGACACATATGTTTGCACATCTTGTTCACTTCCTAGGAATGTGTCAACACTGAGGATGATGCACATGTAGCAGGATTGGCAGGTAGACAATGCACACTGCCTAGGAGCTTAGGAGAAAGTCTTCTTCATATTCCTTTGCTCACACTAATGCCAATAAACCTACTTCTCATACAAGCATGCTTGCAGCCAATTTTTTTGCCTTAGCACCTGTATCTCAGAGTCTCTTTTGTGTGAATCCTGCTGCCCTTGGGAACTGTTTTATTCATTTATAACTCAGAATTTATACAATATGCTCCAGTGTGAAGGAAAAGATTTGTGTGCCTTTCTGTCAGGACTGGAGAAGAGTTGAGATAGTTGAAGATGTTCCTTACCTTTCCCACTATGCAAAATATAAGCACAAAATGTTTCTTATTTAATTCTTAAGTGAACACATCAGAGTAGATACACATGATAGCAACTAAGAACTAAGAAAAATGTATGACAATGTTTGCTATAGAAAAAGGGAAAGTACTCATTTAGAGGGATGGAAAATATACTAATAAAAGAAAACATCATACCGAAGAGAATGGTCTACCTATCAATGCTTGGCCAATGGAAGCACTGTGGTGATATCTGGATTTCTAAAATGCAGTGTGTCTATATGACTAGATATTTCGGGCAGAGAAACAGAGGTATTGCACATAACAAGTGTATGGGGCATTAGGATACAATGAAGGACAGCATTGTTTACGATATTTATTGGAGTGAGAATAAAATGACTTAACTATTGTCTGGGAATGAACTTGGATTGCTTTAGAAGGCTGTCATAAAGGGGATTACTCTGTTACAGGTGATGTAACTAAAAGCAGTTGCAAAACTGTGTTTTCCTGCTCAACAACTGGGAGCATGTAGCAATGTGGGTACACACACTCCACATGCCCTTCTGACTCTCTATGGGAGAGCTAGGCCTGCTTTTATTATGTGCTCCAGAAATAATAAGCAACCTAGACATTGATCTGGTAAGGTCAAGAGTCAGACTACAAGTGCTGGGCTTGAAGAAGCCAGCGCTCTTGTTATATACCATGTCTTGAGAAATGGACATTCCTCTTAGCTTCTCGTCTTGCCTTGTAATTCTTACCTTATTTTGAAGTACTTTTGTGGATATGACACCATGGAGCCTTTTAAGTGTAATAATACAGGGCGATGCTATAATTCTATTGGAGTAACACTGTGCAAGAAGAGAAGGTTGTAGTTAGGAGAGGAAGAAATGATAACTGTTTTTGAATCACTGTGAATCCTTGAGAAAATCATTCGACTTTCTGGCTCTCAGTTTGCTTATTTGTAATTGGAGGGCTAATACTTCTGGACATGAAATAATGGGTCCAGAAAAGGTATTGATGATGATGCCAGTAGCTGTTTACTAGCTTTCTCTTTCTCCCTATCTGGTCTAGGCAAGAAGTCCACCATGGTGCACTGATGATGCTTCTCATAGTCTTACAAACTCCAGCATAATAAGTAGAAGCATTACCTCATTGTGGTAAAGGATACCTGCCTTCTAAAAGCAATTACTCAAACCCGTTCCACTCCTTCCCCTGTTGGCCTTTAATCCCTCACCACATCTTTCTTTAATTTCCCCAGCTCTCAGGCAGAGAGCCTCATCCTCAGGGGACCAGATCATAGTACTTTTTTCTCCAAACCTTAAGATTACAAAGTAAGCACCTGTAATTTATGGTCTGGGCTCCCTTCCTGCACAAAACACATATGTATCAAGAAAGGAGTGAAAAGAGAGCATAATACATGGAAACAAATACCTGGGCCCTAGTTTGTTCTATGTACCCCACTAGCTTTTTCCTCTTGGGTAAAGAACTTCCTCCATATACTCACATCTGTAAAATGATAAGGGGAGGGCAGGTTAGCACTGTGTGCTCCCCAAAATCTGGACTAGTAATCTGCAGATCAAGTTTCTGGTTCCAGTGTGTCTGCTTAGTAACTGTGTCTGGAAAAAAATCACTTCCTGCTTCCTGAGCCAAACTCACCCATATGTAAAGCAAGAAGACTGAATTGGGTGATTCATTAAATCTCTGCCAGTCTGGGAACTGGATGATTTTTTTTTAAAAGAAGTTCATTAAGCAAACATGAATTGCAATGCCTACCCTCTGCCGAGCACCCCGTGATGATGTTTTTAAAATCACATACAGAGAGATCCCGAGGCCCCAAATACAGGTAATGCTTGCTCCTGTTGGTCTCCCAAGCTGGCATTATGGTGGTTTCATAAAGATAGTCCCTATACTCTCTCTCGGTGCTTTGCATCCCCCTTTCCAACATCACTACTTTTAATTCTAAGTAGTGGTGGTGAATCAGAGAAAAGTTTCTCAAACATTCCACAATATGCCTGCTAGAGACATTTACAAGGTTTCAAACTACAGTGTGGTCTCTAGCTGCATTAGTAGAGAAACTAGCCAGAAAGCAATGGCAGGTTAATGGATTGGTAAGGAAGTGGTTGATTTTTGACAGAAGAGTCTGGGAAAGCCATTTGTGAGCTGGGCTGTGTCTACTAGCACTGGAAAGCCAGTCTCCTGGATCTGAGATTACTTGTTCCAAGGATATTTTGAAAGGCCCTTGCACCTAGATATATGTTGCTTCCCCAGAGAAATCCTGGTTCTTATATGTTTCTGGGACATGAGAAGCTTTCTAAACTGTACCCAGCAAAGGATGTGGATGCTTTGCTTGGTAGTTAGTCTAGGCATAAGTGCTGCTGGTTGGCAAGTTGCCCCTCAGTTCTTGTGTGGGAAGTGACCAGGTAATAGATATATAGTACAAAACTAGGCAACTGTTATCTTACCAGATTCACTTTGATATTTCTGAGAAAAGCACACACACACACACACACACACACACACACACACACACACTCTGGGACACACACTAGATCAAAATGAAACATCTTACACTGCCCTTTTATTTCTAAAATAGGGGCAGGACTGTGACTTGGGTTCATCTTTATTTTTCTGAAGAGCTGTGTCACAAAATCATTTAACTGGAATCCCCAGGGACTCTTGGGACAGCCTTGCTTTCAGACTCTCTTCTCATGATTGGTTCCATATTGTGTGTCAAGACTAATAATTGGACTGATGAGGTTCCATTTGGATTGCCATAGCAGTCACTAATTCAGTTCTGTGACTCTTCCACTGCAGCTTAGCGACTATAGAACCCTGAACTAGGCAGAAGGAAAGGACGATGGAAAGCAGTATCACACAAAGATCCAAATGACATTTGAGAGAATGATGTCCTCCAGAAGCAAGAGCCACATAGCACGCCTGTGAGTCCCAGGACCTGCCAACTCGATGAAAACCGGCCAGTGGAGACTTCACTGTAACTTGTAGCTTTTGCTGTTGTGAACCATCTCCTCTTCCCATCCTTTCAGAGAATCCTAAGACCATGAGGAGCAGCCTTACCCTGGTAGGCACCTTCTGGGCCTTCCTGTCCCTAGTTACTGCTGTGGCCAGTTCTACCAGCTATTTCCTTCCATATTGGCTGTTTGGATCACAGCTAGGAAAGCCGGTATCTTTCAGCACATTCAGGAGATGCAACTATCCTGTGCGGGGAGACGGGCACAATCTGATCATGGTGGAAGAATGTGGGCGCTATGCCAGTTTCACCGCCATACCAAGCCTGGCATGGCAAATGTGCACAGTGGTGACAGGTGCTGGCTGTGCTCTGCTGCTCCTGGTGGCATTGGCTGCAGTCCTAGGATGTTGCATGGAGGAACTCATCTCTAGAATGATGGGGCGTTGCATGGGAGCTGCACAGTTTGTAGGAGGTAAGACTGTCACAGGGATTGAGTAGGTTGTGGAGCTTTGGGTTGATGGAAGTGGGGAATATGGCAGTATGGTAAAATACACTCTCACCTCTTCTACTCTGAGTCCAAAGCTGTGAATGAGAATTTTCTTGAAACTCATTGAGAATTCACAGCAAAATAAGATACTAGACAGAGTTGATAGCAATAGCTTTGTCTCCTTTTTGTCACTTACAGGGTGTGAACATAGTAATATTATCTAAAATAGATGTCAAAGTAGAAGACAAAAGAACAGTGATCAATAGAGGCAGTAGGGTGCTTGATATTGAACAATAGACACCAAAATACAGTTGCATGGGAAGAATACATTCTGTTTCTATAGCTGAGTATGAAGACTGTAGTCAACAGTGCTTCATTATTTATCTTCTAAATCTACAAATTAAAATGAGAAGAGACTTAGTTCTTCTAGTTATGTATCAATCAACAATAAAACAATACCAAGCAAAAATATATTCATTACATACTTTACAGTTTAATACACAGTTACAGTGTATGCAATAGAACACTTCTGAATGTAGCAAAAAATTTTAAAAGACTCATATCCATTCTGCCTTCCAATACCAGCACAATGGTCCAATATAATATTACTGCTCCTGAATAAAGTTGATCTCTGTAAACGTTTCTCTTTGGTAGTTATCTCAGAGGACAATGATCAGATAAACACACACACACACACACACACACACACACACACACACACACACACACACGTGCTAAATATCCCCACCAAAGAAATAGACCTCTAATAGTAGTAAAATGCTATTTATTTTCTAGACAGACTACACATGAATACCTTTTGGTCTATTTCCAAGATTAGCCTCATCTGGTAGCCATTAAATAAATTTACCCAGATTTCTTATGACTCTGACCTATCCTGTTTTGTTCTTTGCCTTATTCAGCCTCCCCTTCATTTTAGTGCCGTCATCCTGGGATGCAGGTAGCTAGAGGGTGGTCTAAAAAGAGCATAATGCAAAATTGAATATTGCAAGAAGAGGATTGGATTATCTCAGTTTGAATTAAGAATAAAAACTAAATTTAGATAGGTAAAGGTATGTGAATATTTGCACTATTTTGTATGTTTCCATGGGGCATTGGAAGAACTGCTGGTAGAACCTACAGCTGAAGGTTGTTGTGACAAGTTTTGGAGTCTTCATCTACTCCATTGACATCATCATTTCCATTGGTCTCACAGTGTAGTAAGAAAGGTCAGGATGCTTGGATTCCAGTTGTTTTATGACATGGACCTGTGCCTGCCTGTGCAAATGAGATGAATTTTTCTGTTTCAATTCCATTGAATATATCCACTGGAAATATGATTCATATCTACATTCCATTCTTCTCTCCAATGACTGACTGCATTTAGGTGGTCTTGGAGTAAGATGGTAGTGAACTTATATTACTCCCAATGGAGTAGTGATAGGAGAGAATTGGTTCTGTATCTTCCATCCCACAGAGAGTATTTAGTTATTCCTGGAGAAACTTCGGTTATTAAAATTCAGGGACAAAGTGCCACTGAGAAGCCCTTGGCTTTCTAGTTCCTTCTTGACTCAGACTCACTCTAAATCTTGTACATATGTGTTATTGCTCTATTTTCTCATATGTCTTAATTTTTCTACATTTTTGGGCCTAAAAAGTTTTCTAGAGACATGAACAGTAGAATTTGATCCCATTTGAATGTCGTGGTACTAAATATGTTGCTAACATTGCTAGAAACCAATTACTTGATTTCTTTTGGAGAGGTCCATGAATATCATGAATCAGTCTTCAGCTCATTTTTTACCTATATTTTTGGGCATGCTAAAGTTAACCCAACATTTCCTTGATCATATTTCCTCAGCAAGCGAAAGTGGACTGAGATAATGTGAACATGGGTTAGTTTCCATCTTTTTCTTCTTTCAAAGACCTTTTGTTTGTTTTTGTTTTTATTTTTAGAAACAGAGTTTCTCTGGGTAGCCCTACCTGTCCTGGAAGTAGTTCTGTAGACCCATCTGCCTCTGCTTCCCAGGTGCTGGGATTACAGGTGTAAGCCACCACTGCCTGGTTCTTTTCTAGACATTTATTAACACATATTATGTCCTGAACAACCATCTTTTTTGTCAGGAGAGTGACAGCTTAGTTTGGCTTACATTTCTAAGAGCATCCAACTGAAAGTTAGAAGGCTTGAAAGTGGCAGAAACCAGAAGGAAATTAGCATCAGCTTCTATAAAAACTGCATTATTAGCTCCTTCTCCTTCAAGCTTGCTTCTTCTCTGGAGCCCAATAGAAACTTCTGTAACCTTCAAAATTTTTCAGTATATTGCATCTCCAATGATCTCATCTATCAGATCTAGAAATTTGAAGAAAAATTTTGAGGCAAGATGTGGAATGATAATGGGGATTTTGACATCCCCAAGATGTCTGAAACAGAATTTTGGCTGGGTGACAGGTATCATTTGAAAGGAAGTCAAAAGTAAATCGCATTTGGCCTCAAATGACTGCCACTTTATGTTCCCTAAGACATTTGTTCATAGGGATATACTTACAGTGTTTACATCTTGTTCAGTATCTTTAAAATAAAGAATAAAGTGGCATCTATATTAATCTTAGAAAGGGCAAATGGGGCTAAATGAAATAAAAAAAATTCTGCACAGCTAAAAAAACTATCATAGCAATGATTAGAAAGCCTACAGAATGGGAGAAATTCTTTACCAGTTATACTTCAGACAAGTTTTTATTATATAGACTATACAAAGAACTAAAAAAATGAAACATATATATATATATATATATATATATATATATATATATATATATGTATATAGACACAAAAAAAATATATATAGAGAGAAAATAAAAAAATATTTAAAGTGGTCAACATCCTTAGCCATCAGGAAATGCAAATTAAAATTGATTTGAGAATCAATCTCACCCCAGTGACAACAGCAAACATCAAGAAAATACATGACAATAAATGCTGATGAGAATGTGGGAAAAGAACTCATATTTACAGCTAGTGGGAGTTCAGACTGCTGAGACCACTATGGAAATAAGCTTAGAGTTTCCTCAAAGAACTAATGATAGGAAATACCATATGATCTAGATAGTATACTATTATTGAGTACACACCTATATTTCTGCCACAGAGACACATATATATCCTTGTTTATTGCTAGTGTTCATGATAGCATGAAAAGAAAATCAACTTTGATTCTTAGCAACAGATGAATTCATAATGAAAATGTGGGTGTGTAAACACAGAAAATTTATTCCACTGCACAGACTATTGGAGGTGGAAGGGTACAAGGCTAAGAGGGGGTGGAGGGGAATAGTCCAAAAAGATCAACACGCATTATAATTGAAGACAATGCAATGAGACAGAATGCATTGTATACTAGTTCAAGGAAAAAGGAGCAAGGTTGTGTTATCTGGATTATCCCCAGACAGTGGAATGATACTGCAATAGACGGTTAGACTTCTGTACTTTCCCTGTCTGTACCCAGACAGATACCAGCCATCCAGGCCTCGTTTGTAGAGACTGGTGATTGTTAAGGCTGTATACCATATGAAGGGAAAGGGAAGAACATTTTGGATCACCAGAGTTTCTAGGATTCATTTGACTACTCCTATGTCTCATGAGAGCTCTTGGGTCAGAGAGAGAGAGAGAGAGAGAGAGAGAGAGAGAGAGAGAGAGAGAGAGAGAGAGAGAGAGAGAGAGAGAAAGAGACTTCCTCAGTGGCAGGAAGCCAACCATGGGCAGCATTTAGAGCTCCATGCCTAGTAGACAGATAAAAAATAAATAAACAAACAAGTAAATTAATAAATAAGAAGAGAAAGAGTTTTGGGTGTTCGATTTGCGCTTCTTGTGCTGCTAGGGGAAATTGATTTTGTTGCCCTGAGCCTGACTGCTTCTCGGCAGCTAGTGCATTAACCGAAATGTATCAGGGGAGGAGCCAATTTGTTTCAGGTCTGGATTATCTCTGCCAGACCCCAAACCACTGAAGAGATGGAGGATCCATTAAGAAATCCCTCCTCCCCCAGCCTGACTCTTGTTCCCTGGTCTGGCAGCTGCCCACAGAGATGAGTGGTGGGAAATAGGAGAGACAGGAAGAAATAAAGAGCTGCTGGCCTGACTCATACTCAGCAAGGTGACCTGATGGGGCCCTTGGGTCCCATTTGCTCCACCTGCAGCTGATCCAGCTGGCCAAGCTAGGGTCCAGAGAGCCTTCCACTGGGACCTATGTGCCCTGTTCCAACCAGTGAAGGAAACATCTGGCCAGGAGATTATTTCAACACTGGGGATGCTGAGGCTTCTAACCAGCTGGCCGTCCGTCCCCAAGGAAACAATCATTACTCACATTCTCCTGTGTATACATATGGAAGATGTTTGTGAATTTTCCTTTCTCTTCAGTGAGAACTAAACAAAGAGAGAATAGGTGAGAAGTAAATATGAGCAACTTCTTGGCAGGAAAAAAAGTGTAAGATGTTGGATCAGGTTACTTGAGGTAAGCCAAGAATCTTTCTAGGAGGGGAAATGGATTGGAATCACCTGGAATGCTTAAAAGACCACGAACTCTCCAACTCTCCAGGTTATTTTTCCATTTTGATATATGCAGCAGCAGGAGGAAAGCTCTGAGTTTTGAAAACTATCCCCAGTGGCTCTGATGTGGAGCCTTTTCCAAACTGCCAAACAGCCCAGTGCCTTGGACATATACTTTTTGTTAAAGGGACAGAATTTTACACACCTAGACAGTCACCAGTACATTTCCATGTGTAAGGCCATGACAATAGATGCTTCCAGTTGAATGAATGTTGGCACTTAATTGAGATAACAGAGAGCTTGATCTCAGGAATGATACTGTGTTGCTGAAAGCTGTTATCTTTCAATACATATGTACAATGTGTAGTAACCAAATCAGGGCTATGAACATTTCTATCATTGCAAACATTTTATCAGTTACTCAGGTTGCAAACATTGCAATCCCACT